CTCAGTTCTTGACCCATACAAGGGTTATCAGGATAGTAATGAACTGTAAGAGGGCTCTCCTTGGCTGAAAGACTGAGGTCTTTGGATGAAGTAAGGCATTTGTTTCTGAGATAATCTTCTCTCTAGCTTCTTGGCTCAGTCATGGGCCTGATTTTTCAGCCCATGTCTGTGGGTTTTATTTTATTTATTTTATTTATTTTATTTATTTTATGCTTACTTTCCTAACATCACTCCTAGTTCACACCAGGGCCACGCGAATCCTGCTGCAGCCCTAGACTAGCAGCAACTGCTGACGTCGAAGCAGGGAGCTATGCAATTAGCACGGCTGAATTTAATTACAATCTCTCAATAAAATGTCTTGTGACAGAATGTACAACTCAATAAATTCACCAGATTTCATCACATGCAGTTGCTGTGAAGATTAAGTAGCATTAAAATGGCAGATGTGTTTATACTGATCAAGCTGCTATTAAAAGTTTTGGTTGGGAAATCTGCCTGCTAACAGTTAAGCTTAATGTTAAGGATTTACACCTTATAAACTCCTCTTAAACAATAGGCACACTTAATGCTAGCAGGAGCCTGAAGTAATGTGTAAAAGTGCATTTCTAATAGCAGCTCGAGCCCTGCGCACATGGTTTTATTATATACACAATTTTGGTAGCAGCTGACCCTCACTGGTTTTTATGTGGTCCATATCAAACATTTTTCTCTTTTCTTGGTAATAGTGTTCTTTAGATAAAGACTGAAGAAAAAAAAGCACATGTTGTACATGACATTTAATTAARCAAATTGATATAAAGCTTTATAGGGGAAAGCTAAAAGCAAGGCCTGTTAATAGGCCCTTCAGGAAGAGACCATTAGCAAGCCAAGGCCTCTTCAAATGAGGCCGGATGCAAAAAGGGAAAAAATGACCATGCTACAATACCAGGATGTCATAAAATGCCTTAATCCCCACCCATCAGGACATCCATCCAAAAAATAAAGCTGCAGCCAAGGCAAGGCCTGTAGCTGAACCCATCTGTCCCACTGAGGTCTAGAGCAACAGGGATTTTTCCTCTGCTCAGGTCAAAAATACAAAGCATGGCTCTTGAGCTGCGTTTCTTTGAGAACTTCAAAGTAGCAAGGGAGGTCTTATATAGGATCTTTTATAAAAACTGAAAAAGATCTTTCATAAAAGCTCTCAAAGTGCTGGGGCTTTCRTTATGTTCCCCAGCCTCCTGGACAGGATCCCTTATGTCCATGCAGGATAGCTACCTTGGTTCCTGAGCGGCCTCCTTGTTCAGGAACCAACGAGARCTCCAGACATCCCAGTGCTTTAGAGAAGCACAGAAGGTACCAAATGCCACAGGKTATCAGAGACTGGGGGAAGATGCCATAATGTGGTGCAGCATTTGATAAAACCACTGCTTAAAGTTGAGATTGGCACCATTTCTAATGTGCTCTGCAGCCAGTGGGTGCTTTTTTTTGCTTGTGCTTTTTGAAGTGAGGTTGTTACTCCTCCTATTTAGATTTTCTTGCTTATGTTAACTTAATGCTACTTCATTTTTCCCCATGGTTGGAAAGTTCTCTGTAAATCAACTCCTCTCGGTTTTTGCCTCCCCTTTTCATTGAATATGAAACCTGATGTACAAAGGGAGCGGCTCTTATCTCTCCCCCACAGTATTTGGCCATTTGGGCTCCTAGGACACAACAATTGAGGCTGGCTGAGGGCCAGCTCTGGTGTATTAAAGCCACAAAGATAAGCCAGCAGTGGTTAGTGTTGTTGTCTCGCTTCGGCTTATTGTCTGCTGTTAATCTTGAGCTGATTAATTTGCCCAAGGAGGAGTTGAGGGATCATGAGACAGACAGAAAAACACCTGCGGATGATTGGTGTGTGAAACATTTAGAAGGAATGGAAAAAGGCATGTCATGATGGGAGAGCAAGAGCGGCTCCATGGGARAGGTCCCTGGGGTGGTGGCTGGAGCGTTGGGGCGTGCGGGGGCTCCAATCCCATGGGCTCCCCAGGGCAGGTGAGCGCTCGGTTTGTCAGGAAGGACGGACGGGCTGTCAGTCAGTCTGGAGCCTCATGAGTATCTCAAGAAGGGAAAAGCTAGATAATCTGTAAAGTACAAGATGCAGCTTTTGTAAAGCAGGTATTTTGCTGAGGCAAACTAACTTGCTTGTTGAATTGAACCTGCTGAGAGTATATTTTAAATAAAGTATTAGAACTAGGTCTGGAATAGAGTCTCGTTCAAGGAGCCAGTGTAAGGACTACAAGCTATTTAATCCCTCCTTTGAAGGCTTCCGCAATGATGAAGTGATACTGAAATGATCTTTTCCTTTTCTCTTCTTTCTTTCTYTTGTTTCTTTTTTTGGATCAAGCTTTGAGCTTAAACTGAGTTGGCAGCTTCCTTTTCAGACCTCAGCAGCTGACATCATTTGCACAGCAATAATCAACAACAGTAAGAAAACATCTGGGCTTGGAAAGCAAGGCAAGATCAAGGCAGCAGTGGTCTAGGAAGTAAAGGGGTGACAACAGTCTGTGTTGTAAGAGTTTGTCTCGAGTGCACCATGCAGACATGAGGCCCCTCTTGACTGCTGAGGAGTTGAACATTCCTGGTTTCTGAGATGAGGAACGAAGGACAGGACAGCGCGAGTTGTGAGGTTCCCAGGAGAAAAATGGTTCAGGGAGGTCAGGGAAGCAAACTGCTTTTCACATGGGAAGGCTGCGGGGTGATCTCCATGGCTGGCTTTGCTGCATGTTTTGGTGGATCAGAAGACCTTGTGTCYGTGGTCCTGTGGCAAATCATACCCAAAGGTCATCTGGGGAACCTAGGGCTGTGGGAACGCAGCGGATGGAGCTTTCATCAGATGCTCTGTACCGCTCAGAAGCAGAGCAGCCTTAAAGAAAAGGCTCTTTGTTTGCCTCTGAGCTCTTGAGTCCTGCCTGGGGAATGGAAGGAGCACATCCTGGCTCTGTGTTCGGGTGATTCCTACCCCTACYAGTATGCAGAAGTTCAAAGCTCTAGGTTGTTATAATAGTAGGCCAAGAAACATTTCAACTCTCTTCCTTTAAAGGATTTAGGCTCATTWATACCCCCTTAGGCTCTAGCCAGTATATTTTTATTTAAAAAATAATAGCATCACTCATAAGCTCTAGTGTGTGTGTGAGTGGGCCATGATCTTGCAGTCTAATACACCTCCTGCACTGCAGCAAGAGCTGAAGCAGTTGAGGGGACGTTTGCATTTATAGCTGAATTACCCCTGGACAACAGYGCTGGCTCTACAGTCCCATTTCTGGTGCCTTTGGCTCAGTTTAAGACAGCTCATCCACTGCCACTGCCCTTCCTGCCGTGAGAGCTGCCGTGCGGGGATGCGCCCGTCACCRTGGCCTCGCGCCACGTGCTCTCCCGTGTTGCCCTTCCCTCTGTCTGGTGGCACTGGCCGTATCAGAGGCCCTTGAAGGCGGGTCGGGTCGCTTGCCTTCCCCTTCAGGCTTTGTTCCTGCTGGCTTCTTCAGCACTGGTGCAACGGAGCGGAGGATGAGGATGCGCCTGGTGAGGGGCTGCCATGGAAACGGGCAGCTCTGTTTTGATGGGGATGATGGGTGACTTGGCCATCAGCGAGCTCGAGGGAGCTGCTGCAAGACGTGTCGGCAGCACCGCTTCCATACGAGAGATCCCTAAACCCCAGGGCCGGCTTGCCTGCCCACGTGCACCTCCATCCCTTGTCCTTATTATAACCAGCTGTGGTTTGGCCTTTGGCAAAGAGCTGATAGGGCTCCCTTACCCCTCTCCCACTCCCGCCACAGGCTCCCATTAGTCATAGTTGGGCAGAGCATGAAATAAGCTGGAGATAAAGCACTTGCTGTGGACACCGGAGTCCTCTCAAGGGGCTGGGCGCTGGGCCGTGAGGACCGCTCTGCGTTAACCCCTTGGTGCCTCCGGCAGAGCTTCCCATGCCCCTGAACCCCAGCTCGTTGCTAGAGCTCTCCTGGCACCTTTCATCCGAGCAGGGCRAAGTCACGTTGGGGACTAAATGGGCTTTTGGGCTTTTTAGCTAGTGGCCTGAAGGAGGTGCCTTCCGTAGTGAGGCAGGGGTGATGGTGATCTGGGTTTTCTCCGTATCCCACTGGTAACGCAGGGAGAAAGTTATTTTTCCTCCTTGATGGTAATGCTGTTGAAGCTGCTATTGGAGCTATTGAAGCCGCGGATTAATGTTGGCAAACTGACAAGGGGCTGTGGCCCGGCCAGGAAACTGTCCGTCCTGGAAGTTAGCGGGAGGTTTCTAAGGGAGGAGGAGCTCAGGGAACAGACATGGAACGCTTCTCTTTTATTTATTTACTTTTTTTAAAGCAGGACGCTGATTAWGTTTGAATTGCGTTGTGTTGGTGGAAGGCACATCCTTGATGTGGTGCCAACGTCTGGGAAGATTTCAGAGCTTTCATTCAGAGCAGGAACCCTGTTAACGGGAAAGGTGATGCCAAGTGAGCGGAGGTTGCTGCCACCCCGGCTGCTCCTGTCCTGGCTGTCATTGATATGTGCCAGCAGAAGGACTGGCACTTTGAACTCCTCAGATATCATCATTTTCTATCATCTCTAGAGGCTCAGTAAAAGGAATTGCTTGAATAGGAGCTGCTGAGTATTGAAAACCACTCAGTGGTGCTCTCAGGGGGTCTTGTCTGTGYCAGTGTTTAGTTGTTGCCCTAATAGGTAGCAAGGGAGCCGTGTTTACAGAGCTGTCCAGCACTTTGTGTTTGCTGCCCTAGGAGTCTCATTTGCACCATTTACAAACAACTGTCGTCAAGCACCCTGTAGTAATTGAAGTATTTCCTTCTGCTCTTGCTTTGTAATCAGCATCCTGGCTGCATTCTCAGTTGGGAAGCCCTTTAGAAAGCCCTTTCCAAATCTGGTGGGGAAGGGGATGCTTTTGGTTGCAGCAGCCTGAGCGGAGCACGCTGTGCATCTCGGCCAGCCGGCAAAGCGACCGCTTCATCTGCTGGTGCTTTTGTTTCTTGCAGTTGATCATGTGGTTCCCGAGCCCGGGTCCAGTTTGCTGGCTGCCTTTGACCAGTGGCGAGAATGGGCAGACAGCAAATCCTGCTGTGACTATTCCCTGCACGTGGACATCACGGAGTGGCATAAAGGTGTCCAGGAGGAAATGGAAGCTCTGGTCAAAGATCATGGTAAGATCACTTATGGGAAACRAAAAGATGCCTGTTCAGAAGGAAACCTTTCCTCTCTCAGTTTTTGTACCCTGGCCTTACAAGTTTTTCTTGTGACATTCCAATAAAGCTCTTTTGGCCCCGTTTTGGCTGTTGTAGTGGCCCCACGGGGGTGGTTTTTAACCAGCACTGCTGCCACGATGCAGTGGTGGGGAGCAGTGCAGCAGTGAACCTTGCTGCTGCCGAGCAGGGAAGCGCCCCTGCGCAGCGTTGATCCGGGAGCTGGGAAACACACAGRCACCCGGATTTTCCTTGGGCAGGTAGGTGACAGCTCCAGACACTGCACTGCTGTAAACAAGAATTAAGCTCAGGAGGAACTCCAGTACAGGTCACCAACCTGTGAGGAGCTGAATAAAATGACCTCATAGGTTTTTCCCCCTCTTTAATTTCCTTAATGTTTTGTCCTTGGGCTAGAATCATTTTCCGTCCTGTTTGCCGCTTAAGAAAACACCCTTTACCTTCCTAATGAGTTTCTTCCCACGTGTGCTGGGTAAGAAACTGGCTCTGCGCTGCAGGATGGAGGGCAGGGGAGTCGCTGTGTCCCGGTGCTGTGGGAGGACCTGCCTGTGCCAGAGGTTTCCCGGCCCCCTCGCAGGAGGGAGCAGCAGCCAGGCCCTGCTCTTATGTGATGCGTTTTGCTTATTTTTTCACTCAACCTCCTACGGTGYTGAATCCACAGAATTATTCTTATTTCAATGTTAATGGATGCCTAGGGGTTTAGTTGTCCCCACGGCTGGAGCACAGGCTCCGCTGTTCTCATCAGCTCTGCTAATAAATGCCACATGGCTAAGGAGATCCTGTCTTTATGCTGTAATCTGTGAAGTGTGTATATGTCCTGGTGTGTGCATACATGTGTATACATTTTGCAGCACATTAAAGCAATTGATTTTTCTACCGATTATTTCTTCTTGCTGGGGAGCTGAAGAGGGGGTCGGCTTTGTAAGAGAAACTGTGGGCTCATTACAGACGATGGTCAGATGAACTTACCCGATGCGTGGGTGCTGCAAAGGATGATGACTGCATTTGTGGTGCCACCAGTGCTACTTTTTTATGTCAATGGAAGCAGGTCTGTTAGGACATATGGCAAGAAAGAAGAGATCCTTCCAATGCTGAGCACCTGACACCTCATGTAGTTCTTGTCCTAGAGCTTTTAGGATTGACCTATTCACACTGGTCTTAGGATTGGACAAAATCAATTCATTTGATGGGGAAGAGAATCAAAAGATTAGTGTAGATGAGAAGATGATCATACTTGAGACTTACAGTCTTACATCTTCTATGCTAATGTCAGTTATTAGGGAGGTCACTTTATTTATGGAGCCTTATCTATGCCTGCAGGTTGTATGTCAATTTGTTTGCTCTTTCCACCAGGTGTGAACTCCTTCCTGGTTTACATGGCTTTCAAAGATCGCTTTCAGCTAACTGATTCTCAGGTAGGAAGGCTTAATGTTCCCTTCTGTCATTGCAAGCTGTGCATTAGTCAAATACAAGGGTTGGAATCAGCATACTTGGGTTTGATGTTCTCTTCTCGTTTCAATCACTGAGGGAGGAGCAGGACCAAAGGTCCTGGACAGTACCCAGGACTCTGGTTTGAAGATTGACGTCTATAATCTTTGTAATTTTTTTAAAAAGTAAAGGCCTAGGATCCATGCCTGGGTAAAGCAATGGCAAAACCCTCATTTTGAGGTCACTAAGGGTTTATCGCAGCCGCCTAATTGTGGCTGGGAGATGCCTAGATTCAGGGCAAGACAGAGTGATCTCAGGCATAACTATTTTATGTTTGTAAGCCCAAATTGATCCCGAACCAGAAACGCGCATTCTGGCTTTAGTGTTACGATCGCTGTGACCTTACAAAGGAATTGCCCTGTTCGCTATTCAAGCGGGAAACATTTGTGTCCGTTTGGTTGCTGAAATGGGAGGTTTATATTTCTGCGTGTGGTGGGAGGAGTGGAATGCCTGGGAGCCCTGCAGAGCGGCGTGGGAGGCGGCGGTGTGGGACAGTCGTCCCCAGTGACTCTGGAGGCATCTTAATGAGTGGCCATTGAGTGCGCGGGCGTCGCTTGTGGGCTGCTTGTCGGGGCACGCGGCTCCCGGGCCAGGCGTGTGCCTGTAGCCTCTCCTCGAAAATCAGACATAWGGGGTTTTTTTCATACCAAACAACATGAAACTGAAGTGTTTTGAAGCCCCGAGAGCTCTTTGAAACTATTCCAGCCGACAGACCCGTGCCATTTCTGTTTCTGCAGGGGTAAAAATGCCAATAACTTSGCATTTGAGTAGCACTTTTGCCAGTAGTAGCCTCTTGTCAGTACCAGCTCATTGCATGGATGAGGAAGGTCAGGTGTGGCAGGAAAACTGGCTCCATCTATCCAGCAGACCACAGTTTACGTTCATTAATGCTCTCTTTCTGCTTTACATTCTYTAAAATGCCCTATGCTAAAGGAAAGGGCAATGTATACTGGATAATAGCATATACTTAGGTGTGTGCTTGCTGTGTATTGTGATATGTATTTTCTTTCGTCCAGATATATGAGGTTCTGAGCGTAATCCGGGATATTGGTGCCACAGCACAAGTCCATGCTGAGAATGGTGACATCATTGCTGAGGTATGTCATACTTAATCTGTGGATTATTAATGGCAAAATACTGGGAGAGGTTTAAACTCTAAATCCCTCTCTGCAAACAGAAGATCACCAGGACTTTTAAGGACACTGCTTCTCTGGCCATAGCTGCATCAAGGAGRCAAACAGAGCTGCATATCAAAACCCAACCCCTTTATTGTTGGTGTTAGAGCAGGTTTTCATCTCCTTTCCTTTTGAAGTGAAATACTGTTGTGGATGGGAATCACTCCACATAGTGAAATGTTTTCCTGGGCCAGCAGGAGGATGTATGACTTTATATGGCACCTGGGATGCTGATGTTTGGGATCTGTTAATCTTTTAAAGAGCAACAAAAGAAGAAATTTAATAATATATTGGGATTCAGTCTGATCTGCAGCTTGTTCTGTACATTGGGACTCAAGCTTGGAGCTGCAGAGGATTTCTGTGTTGTTTGACTGGGGTAAAGACTACGTGTCTTTGGGCCAAGTTACCTGCAGTTACAGGATTTTTTTTATGAGATACCTTTTTTTGCGCTTTAGAAATTATTTTGTAGACTCAAATGTGTAATAAAAGTTGAGCCCAGCATGAAACAAAACAAATTTAAACTTCCCCCAACTTACTGTGAACAAGTCAGCAAGGATTTTGCAGAGCTCTGCTTATTTTCCATGGGGGAAGCTGGACTCTGTTACAATGCCATTGTGTAAAGACCCATGTGATCATCAGCCATCACAGATGCCTAAAATATCATTTATACCTTTTCAACATCTCTGAGTGTTGCAAGAACAGATAAAGTCATTTTTTAAGTGCTTTTCCTGCTTTTTTTCTCTCTGCCTTAGGAGCAGCAAAGGATCCTGGACCTGGGAATTACAGGACCTGAAGGGCATGTGTTGAGCAGACCTGAAGAGGTGAGGACTTTACTGCCTTTGCATTTATTCCCCTAATTTTTATCCTTTCTGTGTTGCCATCTGGTACTTTTTATTGGGATGAATGTGGTTAGAAACTCCATGTACTTAAYCTCCATTCTTTCCCACTGACTTCTCTTGGGTGAAGCGCCCAAACCCCATTTATCTCACTTCATTTAAGTCTGTAAATTTGCTTTTCAGATTGTGTTCCATTGTATTCTCCATTTCTATCCCCCAGTATCTCCAGGCTAGACATCTTGCAGTATATTCTGGGTCTGCAAAGCCTGTCATGGACAAGCAGGGTTTTTTTTGTGTGTGTGGTTTTTTTTTTCTCTTTTTTCCCTCCGGGGTAGTGGGGCTTTCCTGACTGCCAGATGTGCTCCTGCTGGAAGCTGGCTGTATGAGATCATCCCCACATGCCCCTCGTGCTCTATCCCTGTTTCCTCCCCTGGTTCAGACAAGCAGCATCCGAGCCATTTCAGTAGGAATAGAAGTCGTTGCATTGCTGCAGACAGAAGGAGCAAAATGCCTGGCCTGGGCAGGATGCGACGCTCGCAGAGCTTGCCGTTGGCTCCAGGATTGTCTGCTTCCTGGAGGCTGTGAGCAAACACTTGCACCAAGCCTTCCACCCACTCCTGCATTGCTTCCCATGTTTTCTTTGGCTTGCATGCGGAGAGCAGGAACAGATGCTTGCCTGACACTTGGGCTCATCTGTAGAGTAGCCCTAGACTTTTGTTAGCTTCAAAGCAAGGCCACTCCTTCCCTTGGAGGATTTGCCTGTCATGTTAGCCCTGTCTTGTCTGGCTCCTTCAAAACTCATCCTTGGTGCAGGAGGAGCTTTCCAGGTTGAGCTGCGCGGCTCCCTGGCTTCCTTGKTTCGTTCCTTTGCTTGTTTGTCTGTCCCCTGCCCCGTACACAGTTGCATTCTCAGTGTCACGAGGACACRTGGCTGCCTCAAAGGAGGGTCGGCCGCAGTGTCCCCGAGCAGCCGCAGTGCGGCTGAGCTCAGCTGCCTGCCTGGAGGGCAGGCACTTGGTCCAAATTCTCCTCCTTTAAAGACATAGGAAACCGAGTGGGATGTGATGTCATTTGGTTCCCTTCCTCCTTTTCCTGGACATGGCAGCAACTCTGTGTTTTTAAAGCCGTGCAGCTCCTTTTAAGCTGGCTGATGACAAGAGCCAGATCCTGAGGATGGCTGCAGACTCCTAATTCCTGTTAGCTTCAGCACGAGGGGACGTTTTTGGGCATCCTTCTGCACTGCTGTTAGCACCACGACTGGCTTCTCACACTGTCACCTGTACTGTGTAAAGTCTGTCCCCCTTTATGAGTTTATGATGGCTGTCATCCTGTTGAAAATAAGAGCTCCATCTAAAGCAAAGCAAACCACAGGTTATTTCTGCTGCTTTTGCAGGACTCTGGGTCAGGGCAATATTGAACAAGACCCTAAGATATTTAYGTAGTCAAAACTCCCACTGAATTCTGTGGCACTTTATCAGGGTGAAGCCTGCAGGCTCTGCCATGGGCATTTGTGTCTTCCTCAAAGCAGGYACATCTGAATTCCCAGGTGGAGCATAGGCATGAACTACAGCTTAAGGTGCCCTGCTGGCTCAGGTTTTAGTTTGCTCACCTCAGTAACCTGGCTTGAGCCAAGGTGACAGGATTTAGCGTGTTACTCCAGCTAGAAGAGGGAACCTTAATTAAGACACTGCTCTCCCAAGTCAGCATCAGCCGTTACGTTCTGGAAACCATTCCCTTAACTCAAATCCTTCTGTGATGACTTTTTGGATCCATCGTTTTTGTTTTTATTTTAGCCACAAAAACGCTAAGAGCACAAGCAGTCCAAGTGCTCCAGGAAATGTCTGTCTGTTTTTTTGAAGAGAACTGCTGTGCTAGGGCTTCTAATGAACTCTGGTAATTGCAAACATTCCCTTTGGACTAGTTGTTGGGTTATTGTTATGTGCCTGTCACCATAGCATCTGGGCACAAGGCTTGAATTCAACAGCCTTATTCCTTTCTGTGCAGAAAATTTGCTCCTCCTGCTTAGCAGTTGCTTAATACCTTTAAGTATAAAGCCTAGAGATAATTGTTTTATCCCTGTTTAAAGATGGGGAAACTAAGGCACAGTGTGGAAACACGACTTGTAGTGCTTCAGGGAGAGAACTCTGTGCAGGCCCTCTTTAAACTAGCCCTTTGCAAACTAATACCATTGCCTGGAAACGTTGGCCAGTCTTATGTTTTCTGCTTGCCTCAGAAGGGACAATTCTGCTTTTCTTGGCTCTGTCTTTCRGCTGCCCTCTTCCCTGCAAGTGCTGCTGGCTGCCGTGCGTTGCAGCGAAACCTCCAGACCGTGTGGAATCAACACTGCCTTGCAGCCCTTTCCACTTGGGTGGAGCAACCCAGTCATAAAATGTTCCCTTTTAGGAGCTGAACCTCACCGCTGCCAGGGAAGGGTTAGACACAAGACCTGGCCTGGTGGCAGGCTAGGACTTTAACCCTTTCTGCGCTAGAAACCAACCTACTGGGTTAGAGGGGGTGCTTTTATTCCCCCCCCCATTGCTCACTTGGAAAATGTCTAGTTATTGCAAACTCAGTTCTCTGTAGTCCTAGGCGTTGCAGCATTGTTAAATTAGTTATCTGGACTGATTCGGTTAGGATGTGTCATCTGTCAAAGTCCTGCACAGCGATTACACTTTTTCTAGAAGGGGAGCCTCTCAGTCTTGCTGAGATTATCTTCCTACACATGCCAGAAAAAGTAGATGATTTATGAGGTGGTTCACACTCCGTCAGATCCCAGGCCAGATACTGTAGTGGAGGGTACAATTTGGCATGCTTGATTGCAAACGTGGCTCACCAGACTCTGTGGCTACAGCAGCTCTCTCCCACGTGGCCTGGAACATGAATAGTTTTGCTGAGTCAACGTTTAGTTGCTTAGTTTTGACTAGGTTAAAGAAGGGGCTTAATCTTACTGACCTTGAGTACCTGGATGTTATTTAAGGACTTAAGCTTCCGCTGAGAAACTCTGAAGCAGCCTGGGAGGAAATGTGGTAATGAGAGAGGACTAGAGCTTGGTGCAATTTTAATTGTCCTGATTATACTGTACCTTTTCCTGGCTCAGAATCGGAGCAGTGGGAAGTCTCCCATCTCAGTTTTGCATTCCCTGTTTTGCCCCGAAAGCAGAAGGCCTGACCATCTGTATGTGAATAGATGTGCTCACACACGCATTGCAAACTGCTGCTGRTTTTGTTTTCCAGGTGGAGGCAGAGGCTGTGAACCGGGCAATAACCATCGCCAACCAAACCAACTGCCCCCTCTACATCACCAAGGTGATGAGCAAAAGTGCCGCTGATGTCATTGCTCAAGCCCGGAAAAAGGGTAAGTTATTGCCCTTGGATGGAAGCACCCCATTAGCTCATGCAGTTCAGCTGCTTGCCAGCACAACCTTGGTTCCTGCAGGAGAGGTTCTTTTCTTTTTCTCTATTTTTTTTTTTTTGCACAGGGCTGCTGTCCAGGCACTTTTTTAAAAGGTCCCAAGTAACCTTTTCTGTCTTGTCTCCCACAGATGAAGTATTCACTGGACATATTTGTGCCAGGAGCCATTCCTTCTTTTCAGCCTAGAGGCTCTGTCCTCACACTCAGGCTATTGCACTGAGCCAAGCGCCTCTGTGTTACCTCAAAATAATTCCTTGCTGTCTCCACTTAACAAATCCCCCTGGTTTGCAGGCTGTGTCCTCCTTGCAGCCTCTCTGATCTTGACTTGGTGCTCTCTGCTGAGCTGCTTCCTGTGGTCAGAAGTGATTCCAAGAGTCCCAGTGGAGGACTCGGACTTAGGACCCTTTTGGATTTAGTTGCTAGCTAGTTGCTCATTCCAGCTCTCTGTTGTGCTCCTTGCTCATCACACCCTAATGCCCCGTAACTTGCAGCTGGGCATCCTCGTGGAAATCAAGAGTGTGGGTTGGGCTGTGAACTCCCTGCTTCTGACAGCTCAGCCTGAGAAGGCTTGGACACTGCTGTCCTGCGTCTCCTCTAAGTGAGAGGAGCTGCTCTGCTGTGCATGAGGCAGTAGTTTCTTCCAAATTTTGACCTCAAAGTCTCGCCCCCAAGAAGCAAGGCTTGCAAAGTATAGTGAGTGTCTCTCTCTCTCTCTTTTTTTTTTTTTTTTCCTGTGACTAAACTCTTAATTTCTTTTCAAAGTGGCTCTGTGTGGGTGAGTAAGCAGGAGGGATAATTTCCCCCTCCTTTGCTCAGGGTTGGATTTAATTTTATGCAGTCTAAATAAGCCTGAATGGATATACAAATGACATCACTTCCCATCTGGGTGTTTGGTGCTAGAAGAGCTGATTTCCTACAGCAGCAAACAGATTTGTATTTGTGTATTAGCTTACAAGTATTTTGGTCCCATGATTCCTGTGAAATGACTTCAGAGTTGATAAGCAGGACTGATTTCCAAGGCATCTTTTTATGCTCATGGTATGGAAAAAGGCTCTAGTTGTTGGGGATAAACCTTCTGCTCCTAGCTCCCTTGGGAGCCTCATGGGTATCAAAGAGATCATGCTGATGGGAGTGATGTGGCAAAGTGGCTATATGATTAAGCACCTCAAAAAACAACTTGCTGTATGTGCACAAGTCAATCCCATATTCCAGGGAAGCATCCTTCCACTTTTGTAAATAACAGGGTGGGAACAGATGAGCTACAGAGGTGCAACATCAACCAAAATGCTTCCTCGCTGTGGTCACTGTGCCCTGCAGCCGCTGTCAAACAGCAGCAGGGCTGCTGGCTCGGGGCCGTGCTCTTGAGCTGCAAAAACCATAGACCACCGACTGCCTGGGCTCGATGTCAGCCTGCCTGGGAAAGGCGCAGGGTTGTCCCAGTGAATGATTCACACAACTCAGTTTGCTAGTTCGCTACAGTYTTCAATGAGATTGCATTTCTTCCTTATAAGGAGACTTTGGGGTGTAAGTGGCACTCTGTTCCCTCTTCCTTTATTTAAGTAATTCAATTTAAACATTGCTCAGTTACCAGTTGGATAATCTAAGAGGGCCACACATGCTATCCTTGCCCTCCCAAGCTATGGAGGAAGTATAACTGAAGACTATCCAGAGCAAGAAACAAAGCAGAATGGGTTTGCTCAATGGAAAAGAACGAGCATTATTTAAAGCCAGATGTTCTCAGTGGCATTTGTATGGAGGAGCTTCCCCTCAGACTCTGTTGCTGGCACATGTAGGAGCTCAAAACATCGCTCCCCGCCGAACAATCCTCCCAATGTAGCAGCCCACAACAGGCCTCCCATTAATAGTCAGCGTGTGTTTTGCCTTGTTCCGATTTCATAGCCCTGTTTGTGGCAAGTGATGTCRGAAGGGCTCTTCCTCTGCTGCTGGCTCCCCCCGATGAAGGCTGTTCCTCACCTCCTGTACCAGTGTGGTCCTCAAGCAGCATGGAGCCAGTTAGAGCATTGTTCTGCCTTGGCTAAGCCACTCTTTCCCAGCTACTTTGAGAGGCTCTAGACTTAACCGTAGTTTGAACAAACTGGTGAGTGACCATGGCCTTGTTTTCTTTATTGTGAGGTACTGAAGAMTTGTCAGTTTGACATGGACCTTTAGTATTAGTATTTTAACTACCTTCATCTTTTGCAGGCAGATACGAATACATGAGGTGTTCGGGCTCAGAAGCTGCATGGAGAGGCACTTTGTAGAGATTTCAGGAAGGTTTCATTTGGCGAGCAGATCTGTGGGGCTACCAGCTTGCACAGCTTTTGAAGTTGCAGCATCATGCATCTGCTTGGTGTGCACATGTGGCTGGTGCATTCCAGTATGCAAAGTATCATGGCCTTAAAGACTGTTCCTTTATGTGGTTCCAAAAATGCTAATGAAAAGGAAGGATGCAGTGATGTTTAGTGCCCTGGATAGTGAGTCAGAAGGTCTAATTTCATTTCCTAGTTCTGCCGCAGGTTTGTCCTGTACATTTGGGGGAATCACTACATTTTCCTGAGCCACATTTGTGAACCAGAAACCCTGATACTTGCCCTCAGTGRTGTGCTTTCTCTTTATGCAGGAACTTTCCTGACACAAGTGCTCTCTTAACAAGTCTCTTCACATTGTCTACTCCAGTAAGGCAACTTGTTAGAGCTGTAATACCTATGCATTTATATATATACATATAAATATATATTTCAGGCACTATTCTTCTTATTATTTCTTTAATGTCCCTTGTGCTTGAATTTCCTCACTCTTGCAATTCCCCTTGGACTCTTCGGCAAGGTTCCTGGCCCAGGACACAGTGAATCTCTGCTATAATCATTTCCAGCACAATTGATCAGCACTGASCTCAGCATTGTGTGGAGGCATTGTGCATGTTTGGCTGCTCTAAACTCTTATCAGTAACAATGTCTTTACTACTGATTCAGGTATTTAGAGGTTTAGAGGATATTTATTCTGGAGGACTTATTTCTGGATCACGCTTGTACTTCTTTAGAGATCTCAAGGCGGGCAAGTGCAGTTAGGAGTTTGCTTGTAAGAACATATGCTCTTAGTAGTGTAACTTGGCTTCAGAGGAGCATTGAATAGCCCAGGAGTTCAGTAATATCTGATCACCTTGTTACTTAGGCCAATGAATTAAATCCAATGTTGTATCTGCCATCACATGCTTAAGAGAAGTCCTAAGAAATCCTGCAGGGTTGTTGTGCTGGCCAAAGCTACCCAAGGGGAAAAGCACGCTCCTTTCTTCAGAGGATGCCTTGTCCTGGGAAGCCGGGCTGGAGCTGCACGTTGCTGGGCACTCAYAGCAGCCTTGCCTGTATTCCTGTGCTGCAGGCACCGTGGTGTACGGGGAGCCCATCACAGCCAGCCTGGGTACCGATGGCTCCCATTACTGGAGTAAGAACTGGGCGAAGGCAGCCGCGTTTGTCACCTCCCCACCGCTGAGTCCTGACCCCACCACTCCTGACTTCCTCAACTCTCTGCTGTCCTGGTGAGTAGAGCTCTGTCTATTCATACAGCATGTGCTTTGTCATGAGACCAGTGGGAAAGAGAAATAATTGTTATCAGCTGTCAGCTAGCTGAAGAGCTCCCACCTCGTGTGGTAAACCTGTGATGATAAAACACTGCAAGTACTTCTCACTGTCTTTTTGAAGTGGAGACCTCCAAGTTACTGGCAGTGCCCACTGCACCTTCAACACTGCTCAGAAAGCTGTCGGAAAGGACAATTTTACCCTGATCCCTGAAGGAACCAATGGGACTGAAGAGAGGATGTCCATCATCTGGGATAAGGCTGTGGTATGTCACCGGGGTCCCTAACTAGTTGTGACTGGAGCAGAAGCCTTTGCACCATATACTAGCCTCAAGGCTGCTATAAATTCTGCCATTATTTCACCCATGATTTTGCAGTCTGGAAAATCCAGCCTAATTTTCTTGTCTGTGTTCTGTGCCAGTAACAGAACAGTTAGTTGAGAGCACTGCATGACMGGTCTGGATCTTCTCTTTTGTCATGGCTAACTTCTGACCTGAAAGTGCCAGTTTACAAGGAACAGTTGAAACTCTGCTCGAGTATGTTCTTTTAGGCCATTTTCACCTGTAAAATGCTGCTCATACCCTGATCAAAGAGCAGATTTCACATTCTGTTGTCAGGGCTTGCATGGTAGTAGAGTTGCTACCAAGTGGATGTAGAGCAATGAAAGGCACCTTGGGTTCTGTACCTTGTGAACCTTCTGCAACAGAGCTGGCTGGGTGAGCAAGACAAGTTCCTTCCTTTCTTTCCTGAGCCTTAGGCTGTAAGCAGACTTCTAGAGCTGGAAGACCTGCAGGCATGTGTTGTGATCTCCCCTTAAATGCTTGTTAAGGCCCCTCTGCTTGAGGTTCTTGCCCCTGTAGAGATCCCTGACGACCTGATTTTAATGGTTGTGCTGTCAGCCACTTGCTTTTCGGTGTTGTCCCCACCTGGCTAATGCAGTGCCTCTTTTTGTCTTTCCCCAGGTGACTGGCAAGATGGATGAGAACCAGTTTGTGGCTGTGACCAGCACAAACGCAGCTAAAATCTTCAACCTTTACCCAAGGAAGGGCCGTATTGCAGTGGGCTCTGATGCCGATCTGGTTATCTGGGATCCTGACAGTGTCAAGACAATCTCTGCCAAGACTCATAACATAGTAAGGATGATTTGTGTAGTGTAAGCTGTGCTGCTTATCTCCTCCTCTCTGCCCTCAAAGCCAGACTGTRCTGCTGAGGACTGTAACTTAGGACAGCTCAGGACTTTGTTCCCTCCATGTCCTAAGCCCTGTCTGGTTTTACGTCCGGTACAGCTCAGTTGTGTGAACAGAAAGAAAAACCACTAAGCCCAAACTTGAACAAATAACCGTGAGGTTCCCGTGAAAGCAAAGGGATGGCCTGGTGCGTCTGAGTGTTGAACACATGGATCTGAGCACACAGAAAGCTCTTTAAACCTCTTAAAATACTAACAGGCCTCTTACCACAATATGTCATTTATGACCTGGCTTGCTTGTGGTGGGAATATGAAATGGGCCTTTTATGATAGTGGTCAGCGAAGCAGGTCAGCTCAAGGACACCTTAGCTGTAGTTTTCATTCAGATAAATGGGGGAATTTACACCACACGTGGATCTGGCCCTGCAATTGCTGCAGGCCTCTAGCTGTGCTCAGGCTTGACTGGTCTTGCCSCCAGTGTCTGCTGAGAGACAGGGTTAGTTGTGCAGGTCCAGAAGGTGGTGGACATCCATGAGGAGGAGAGGACTAGAGAAATACTGATTTCAAGCACTGTGAGCTGAAACCATAGGGGCATGTGTGTGGAATCATATCTATACATRGTTTTACTGATAATCCTCTCTGTGTTAGTGGATACAGAGAGATACAAGGTAGATTCCAAGCTACCATTTTTTCTTTGCTGCTTTGTGGTAGCAGTGTTTGCTTGTGCACATAGCAATGTCCCAAGTCTTACCTCTGGCTTCTACAGTGAAGAGGTGGTCCCACCCAGCAGGAAACTGCRGAATGGTCCCAGTGCAGAGGACTCSTTGGAGTCTCCTTGTGACTTTCTAGCACTGTCTCAGAGAAAGCAACCACTGTTTGCATTTGTTGACAACTGTTTCTCTGCTGGCGATGAACCTATGGAATGTTTCCCTGGAAAAAACTCCCTGTTCTTTTTTTTTTTTCCGTGAATGGTTTCATTCACTCTGGAGCTAAAGGAGCAAAATTCTCTTCCACACTTAGATCCCTGGGCAGATTCACATGGAAACTTTTTTAAAAAGGTTTGCTTCACTTCCCTGTGACTTTGTGTCAGAATTGGTCGCAGATGGCCTGGATTCGTCCTACCTTTGCTTAGATTCCTAACAGAGGCACCCAGACTCAGAAGTCTAGTCAGCCTTGGTCACTTTAGAGGTGCTCCTTGGTCTCCCTGGAGCAACCAGGAGATGCCTGACTTGCTTGGGATTCCAGGGAGATACTGCTATTAAGTGCCACGTCTAGTGGTCTCAATGTGGCTTTGTGGTTATAGGAGGTGAATAGTGACAAGGGCAGCAAGCAGTTTCCTGGCTTGTGTAGCTGAAAGTTATTGCCACGTCATGAATGTTGTCTTTGGGAAATGAATTTGACTCCTTAAATTTCCTAACAAAAAATTCAGAGACCTTATCTTGTGTGAAAATGCCCCAGCACAATCATGCCTGACTCCACAACCATCACCAGATTTTCCTGTAGATCTTCTGAAAGAAGTTAAAGGAGAATCAGATCTACCTTGAAACAAGCATTCGGGAATGCTTTATAGGCTAAGGACTGTAAGGACTTCTGCATCATGTTGGAAGTCTCAGCGCTGTATGATCAGGAATTGCTGAAGGCTGCATCTRTAAGATCTGTCATGATGCCAAGGCTATGGAGGATGAAGAGCTAATGTTCTCTTTTCAAGTGGATGGTTTGGAACTTGCAGAACTGTCCAAGAATTCTTTCTGTTACAATATTGGAGTACCTATAAAGCTCTAACTGGAAATCACATACCTCCTGGTTAAAAACTGAAAGTGCAGAGACAATTCCTGCCACCAAATCCTTCCAGAAAGGCTTATAATATTGAAGTAGGTGGAGGAAAGAGGATGCATGGTATATGTTTCTGTTATGGGTGCTCCATGGGTGATTTTTTTGTATAAAGCCCAGCTCTAGTCCTCTTCCCCTCTCACATTATATCACCTGACATACCTGACGTTGCACCTGCTGGGCTAGACTTCGTGTCTCACACGTCCTGTGCCTCTTGTGATAGAGGAGAAGTTGCCAGGCATGAGGAACAGGGCACTATCTTTAAAATCAAAGCGCTCTAGTTTGGTCAAGTATAAAACAAAAGCCCCTTTGAAACTYGGGCAGAGTGATTGCTGCGACACAACGAGACGTAGTGATTATGTGGCATCAGATGATTAGATGACTAGAATTTAAAAATGCTAGAGTAACATATGGACTTTTTCCAAGAACTCACACCACGGTTGCCACTGTCTGGCAAGGAAACGTAAGACGAGGAAGATCGTGTTGTTCTTGGAACCAAACTACTTCATGAGCTTCTAACCAAGCCTCCTCCCTTGCCAGCACGTTGTTTTTCATCCTGGACCCTGTTTGCTCTCAGTTTTAACTGCCTTTCCATCTAAGTGTCAATCTGAAGTCAAGTCTACCCATACCTGTAAAGCACTTGAAGATCAAACTCCATCACTAGCTCAGTAAAAAAGACCTGGATTGGTCCTAGAGATGATCACTAGACTAACAAGTTCCAAACAACGTGGTTGTMGAGCATCTAATGCTCCAGTGCTGCATGGGTGGGACATTGATTAATGGTTCTTTTAAAACTTGCTTCCAAGGTGTAATGTTTCCAATCTTATTAATTGAGGATGAGCAATCCCAGTAGGGTAAAACAAGATTGTTCTGGTCAGGACCCATTAACCAAAATACTGGTATGAAATGCAGTTTTTATAATAATTATCACTATTTTTAGTTTGAGTAGACTTGATTTGGTTCCTAAATTCACTGCAGCTAGGTGACTAAATCCATTTAAACTGCTGGGCAGTGTCCTCACTGGAATTGTATATCATCTTTCTGAAATCTTTTCTCAATAGCAATTCTGCCTAAGTCCCCAGTAAGTTTAGTTGCTGACAAAGATTGCACCACAGTATGTACAATTCAGACAAATGCTGTTGTGTTTGCTTCCATCTAGCCTCCAAACATGCTGATTGCTAGTCCAAGCCCAGCAGGCTTTGCTGGGCTTAATGTTTGCCTCACGCTGCCTTTTGTTTGTCCTAGTCTGTGGAGTACAACATCTTTGAGGGCATGGAGTGCCGCGGATCTCCCCTGGTCGTTATCAGCCAGGGCAAGATCGTGCTGGAGGATGGAAATCTCCATGTAACTGAGGGCTCTGGACGGTATATCCCCAGGAAACCATTTCCTGACTTCGTTTACAAGCGCATCAAAGCCAGGAGCAGGGTGAGTAGAGCTGGTAGATGCACATGAATTGTCTTTCTGAACTCCTGAGTTAAAGTGGCTGGAAAACAGATGCTCTCCCCTGGCTTGCTGAGCACATGCACTTCTGTAGCAGAAAATGTTCYTTGGATAAGAGCCACATTTATCTCATTCCTCATTTATTTTTGCTTTTCACTTAAGTCATTACAGGGATATGCTTGGCCTGAACTTGTTTTTTTTTCCTGCAAATTTTATTTCCACTCTTTAATTCATCTCTGTCTCAGAGTTGCATCAACRCAGTGTGAGTCTAGGAAGAACTATCCAGTTTGGACATGAATCTGTTTGCAAATAACCCTGCAAGATTCTCCCATCACAGGAGTATCAAGTGACTTAGTAATAGCATTTGTATCTTGAACCTTTCAGCAACAATTTGGTTGTTATTTGGAGTTCTTATTTGTTGTTAAAGCTACATCATCCTGCTTTCCCRTCTCCCTTGTGCATATGCCATCAGATGTGCTTGTCTGGTGACTGGTGAGTCACAGGCACAACCTACTGATGGTTTAAAAATGTGAATGTTTATGTTTTTTAAGAGGCTACAATTCTTGGAAATAGKTTTTTTGGAATACCTTTTCCATTGTAAAATACCCATTCAAAGCAGGAACTGCCTTCTGATATATCTTTAGTTGGTAAAAACTGACACAGAAGGTGATGCTGAACTCTCAGTGATTTTTAATTGCCGAGGATTTTCAAAGTTCATTTCCAAATCTCATCACTAAATTGCTAAAAAAGAGTGTTTAGTTATCCCAAACACTGCCCTCTGCTGGGCAAGTCTGGAGCTGCTCTCGCTCTGCAGATRCGGATCAGCTACCCGTTCATTGCAAATGTTTTTTTCCTCAGTTGTTAAAGCTAAGAAATTACAAACTATAAAAATTATGAACTCAATTCAGTACCTCAGAGACTAGAGCGAGGGTTTCCACTGTGTTCCTCTCTCCCACAGAATTGTGCATTTGAACTGTAAATCCAATTGAGCAGTACCTCAGCTGGAATAATTGCATTTAACCCAATCCAAAGCGCTGAAGTTGGTGATATAAAGCGAGTCTGACTCTTGCTCCTACTGCCCTCTGTGTCAGCATTATTGAGCTTTTGGGGGTCGTAAGTTTAGTTAGAGAGTTGTCATGACTCTTCAATGTAACAGCCCTTTGAGACCGCTGAAAGGAAGAACTTGTCCAGAAGAAGCATGTGCTTCTTACCTAGGTTTCTAACACCAGAAATATAGCTGCAGAATGTATTTCATTTTAGCCATACTGCTTAAAATATCAGCTACCACCCATGTATTAGCGTGGAGGASACATTATGTGCCTTCAAATGCTGATCTTGAAATGTGTGTCTTTGGCTTAGCAACATCTGGCCAGCTGTTTAGGTGTGTTTTGAGGACTGCTTTGAGCCTGACATCTCCCTTCTTCTGTGTCTTGCAGCTGGCCGAGCTGCGGGGAGTGCCACGGGGTCTTTACGATGGGCCCGTCTGCGAAGTCTCCGTGACACCCAAGACCGTCACACCAGCGTCTTCAGCCAAGACGTCTCCTGCCAAACAGCAGGCCCCACCCGTGAGAAACCTGCACCAGTCTGGATTCAGCTTGTCCGGTACGTACAATTTTTGATTTCACCATTTCAGTGTACTAAGATGCGGGATAGTTTGGACAGGATCTGCAGGTACCACTGATACCAGCATCAGAGTAGGACCAAGTGGTATAAGGAAATCTACAGCGTGACAGGGTCAGAGTTTCAGTAGAATAAGAGCCAATACAGGCTTTTCCTCCAAAGAAGGTATCTTCAGTGTGCTCTGTTGGAGCCCAGTCCAAGAGGACTCGTGTTTTAGTGCATCCCTGTTCTCCTCCTGACCCCCACGGCCAAGTTCTGCTGCGGGAGCTGTCCTGTATCTTGCCTCAAACTCTTCCTTGCTTGAGGAACCTGACGTCGCTTCTGTCTCCTCCAGGTGCACAGATCGACGACAACATCCCACGCCGCACGACTCAGCGCATCGTGGCCCCACCCGGCGGACGTGCCAACATCACTAGCCTGGGCTAAGGACCGGCCCCTTCTGTGCCCGCCTAGCGGACAAGGGGAGGGGACCGGGGCACCTGGAGACCCTTTTTGATTCTTTTAGAGCCTGTGACAGTTACTGCGGGCAACCAGTGGGGGGGAGCTGAAATAAGGCGCCACTTTCAGTCCCCTCAGATCCCCTCATCTTCATTGACCCTTATCACTTCCCCCTTAGCCCCTACACATATGAAGAAATAAACCCTGTTTTTTGACACCTCTGACATGGAAAAGTAAAAAGGATGTTTGAGAGCTGTGGCCTCTGTCCCATTAAGCATCTTTCTTTTAATAAAGGAAGGATAAAGTGAATTTCCCGGGAGCTGCCTTTAAGACACACGCAAAAAAAAGGAATAAATGAATAATAAATGTAAAAATTAGCTTTTTTTTTTTTTTTTTTTTTTTTCAATGTCAAGCAGAGGAGTAGTTCAAGGGTTTTAAACTGGATATACGGTAGGGTTCTGTGTTCCAGCGGAACAGCTAGGAGAGCATGGAGGGACAGCAGCCCCGGCTGTCTGTAACGGTCCCCCTGCCACTGCCACTGAGGACACTGAGTAAATGTCTGCTGCCCAGAGGAGAAAAGAGACCCAGCGCTAGGTAGTGACAGAGCACGTCACGGCCTGTTGACTGGGGAGTGAGATTCCTGGAGGGCGGGGAGGGGACACTGCTCTTTTTTATTATTTTTGTTTTTTTCCTTCTGGATTTTGCTGTAAACCAGATCCTTGAGGAAGCTTCCATGGTTGTTGGTTTTTTTTAGTATTTGTGTGTGTGTTTTTAATATTTTTTTTTATCATTGTGTTTATGAAGCCTTATCTCAGAACTGCATTTTCCCTGTTCTTCCCGGCCTCATTCACGTTGCAGACTCCCGCCAGTGTCACTGCCACGGCTGCCCTGCTTGCCCAGGTGCTCCYAGGTGCGTCACTCCAGCGGGTGCTTCCCTCAGCTTCAGTAGGAAGTCACAGAGCAGGTTCATAAGCTGTAGTCTTCAATACACTCAGCCTTCAGCTGGTTCTAAAAAGGTGCTGGATGCCAGTGGAGAAGCTGGAATGGAGTTTCTTGAGAAGCTCTTAGCAATTAGTTTGTCTTTGAATTCCCAGAGGCGGAAAGCAGGGGGCCATAGGCAATGAATAACAAAATTGTCTGAAAAAAATCCATAGCAGCCCTATTCTCCTTTCCAGCCATCCAAGAACAGTTATTTAAAACCTTGTGAGCTTGGCTTTAGCTCACATCTAAAGCTGGTCAGTTGAGCGCGTGAGCATCTGAGTTGGTTGCAGCCCAAGACCAGATGCGCAGCTGCTGYAACGGGGAGGCTCAAAGCAGCCCCATGGCTCGGGGGCAGCTGAGAATCTCTCACACGGTGAGAATTTCTTCTACAGTCACCTGTTCCTTCAGGAATCTGCCTTTGTGCAAATAGTCAGGAGGAGCCCTCATCCCCACCCTTGCTCAGATGCCTCCTGGCTCCGATCTGAAAGAGCAGAGGCCTTCGACAGTCCTGGAGATTTGGGCGTCCACCTTCTGTGGTAGTCAGCAGGATCTGGGTACTTAAATCTCTTCTAAGAACGAAGGTCTCTTATCCCTAGTGCTGGAGGTTCGTGTTTCACAACACGGAGAATAAACCTGTCCTTTGCAAGGCCCGCTGAGCGCTACCTGGAGGCCTTCATGGTCCCAAGGCCTTGGGCTGTCTCTTGTGGGCCCCTCTTGTGGGCAGAGSTTCTCTGCCCACAAGTACCACGGCGTTACCTCCACGGCCCGTGTGCCTGGCACGTACCTGCCCCTTCTGCTCGCTCTGTGTACGTTGACCTTGTTTCTCCGTATTTGTGCGTATCTTCGAACAGTGTTTACAGGGTCTTTTAAGGAAAAACTAGCTATATGAAGGCTTTTAAGAAACAAATATGAAGTTTGTTGTTATGAAGTGTAAGTGCTGGGATTTTCAAGGATCTGAAAGCTGAGTAGGTAGCCAAAGCCTCCCAAGATCAGCCCCTAATTCCTTTAGACACCTTTGRACATGGAAGTTAAGAGAAACATCACCATACTCATCTGTCCCTGAATTTTGGGTTAACTTTGGGGTCTTTTAGTTTTGCATAAAAGAGTTTGCACTTTGTTTGTTAAGTAATCCATAAACGTAATATATACTGCAGCTATTTTCATTTTTTTTTTCACCTGTACTTTGAAATCAATTTGAACGAGTTGGGGAGAAAAAAAAAGAAATGCAAATCCGTTTCAATTCTACGAAACGCTCGCGGCTCTTCAGTATTCACTTAAGTCTTCCTTTTTTTTCCTTCACTGACTCATGATGACTTTTTAGTTTTAATTTGTTCTTCGAAAGGAAAAAAAAAATCACACAAAAAAAGATTTTTGCAGGCTGTGTAAGCATGTTTTTTCCTGTGAGAGCTCGTCTGCTTTGTGTCTGTTTAATGAATGTCATATGTAAATGCTTAAAGAAAAAAAAAGTCAATGACTTAATTAACCGCAGTGACTTGAAGCTCTAAAAATAATAATTAAAAAAGTAGGATTTAATACTAGATGGATTTAACCCTTGGATTTGTGATTGTGAACCATGAGTGGAGGAGCTGTAAGTGCTAAAGCTGATCATGTGTGTAGACAAACAGAAGTACTGATCTTGACCATTGTCTCAAAGGCAAAAAAGAAAAAAAAAAGAAAAAAAAGAAAAAAAAATGTCTTGTGTTTTATTCCTTAAGAACTCTGTGTTATATTACCATGGGAACTCCTAATAAAGGCAAAATGTTGTTGTTTCACTAGGTGCATCTGTATCTCAAGGCGACACGTGTCCTGTGTGCATCCCTTTGCCGGTGCCTTCAGCAGCTACAGCTTGGGCTCTAAAAGCATAATCGTGCATACGAGTCAGGTACACAGTAGCAGAGCCGAACGTAGGGAGAGTAAAGACCAATGGATGGGCTACAAAAAAGAACTGACTGACTCTTCCTCTCTAACCTGGAAAATATGCACCTTTTTTTTCTCTGTAATCTTTTTATTAGTAGCAAAAATAATTTCCCTAAAAAAACCCCCAAAACCCCACTATATATATATATATATATATATATATATACACACACATTATATATATATATATATATATATATATATTTTTTGCTTCCAAAGTGCAGCATGCCATTTTTCCACAAGAGGGCACCAGCTATGCGTGTTCAGACTGCCTTTCTCCTAATTTCTTGAGTTTATTTCCCTCTTTTAGTCACATTCCTTTCTCCGCAAACAGATAGGGACCTGCTTAAACATCATGGATTTGACATTGATATTATGTATTATGCTTTTCAACATCAAAAAAGAAATCTGCCACCGTTTTTTTTTCCTGCATTCGCTAGATGCACTTCAAGGTCTGACTCACACAGAGCTGAAATAGTCTGAGTTTGGCTATTAGAAATCACTCGCAGTGTGACAGGGAATCAGCTGCTTCTCAGAGCATATTCAAATTCCCACACAAAAATCTGACAGCAAAGCTATAATATTTTTATTAGCTTCTTCCAGAGACACCCATCACATTCACTCCATAGGCTTTTCCTATATATATATATATATATTTTTTTTTCATATATATATGAAATATGAAATATATGTATGTTTATATATATATATATTTTCATCACAAGAGAGCCACAGAATCATGAAAATGACTGTTTTTCTCAATCTTAGTGATACTGGCTAAGCAGAAAAAAACCCTGTTTTATTTATGCCTCTACCAGTAGCTTTGTCCTCTTACAGAAAATGGGAGAGGTGGTGGCAGCTGGAGGTGCCTGTTGCCTTGAYGGAGTGATGCCATTCTGGGCTGAGGAGAGGGAGCTGGATGAACAAAACTTGGGGCTTGGATTGAGGCTGGATGACACTGCAATGTCAGGGCTCGTCTGCATCGTCCAGCCTTTGGGCTCAAGTTCCCAGGAATGTCTTTCATTGCGTGATCCTGGAGAGAATGTCTTGCCTTGCAGAGCAGGAGCAGCACCCAATGATGTGTGACCTTTCCTCCTTGGCCGTTTCGTATTACCCCGAGGAAGTGGCAGTGAACTCAGCTGGACATTTTGACAACGAGATCCAGCTTGTGTGTGGTTTCCCCAGGGCTCTGTAGGGACCCGTTGGTTTGCTCCCCTTTGCTTTCCCATCCTTCCCTTTCTCTTGGCTCTGGCCCAACGCTATAATGAACTATCATCCCATGTGGTTCTTGAAGACAGTTGCATTTTAACCTTTCCTCCAGCCAGTCATGCTGCTGAGTGCTGGAAAAGACAGCAGAGAGGCTGAAGAAGGCTTCACCATGGACCAGGCCTTGGCAAATGGTTGGGATTCTCAGGTTATGTTCATTTTTAGGGAACACAGTGAAATAACTGTCCCTTCCATAGGATATCAGGCTAGGCAAGGAAATGAGTTTTTCCACACTCTGTTAGCYACAGGCTTTAAAGAACCATCATGTACTTTCCAGCTCCCTATGGACCTCACTCCTATAATTAGATGCAAATGTTATTCCCATGTAGACAGTAACTGGTGCTTGAAGGTTTTGTCCGCTCTTTTCCAGATGCTGGGATCCAGCTGTGATTAACAGGCAAGGTTATTTGAGACAAAACACTGCCCCAAAGAGCCACTGCTAGTTAGTGCTAGCATTTAGGCTGAGCTTATGCCAATGACATTCTTTATCCTTCCAGTATGCTAAGAAGGAATTTGTTTGCAGTAGACTATTTTTACTGCACCTGAATTCATTAATCTCTCCAAAAATAACATTGAAGGCACATACTTAAAAAATTTTACTTTCCAGCTTGCTATGGAAAAAACTTAGGAAACCCAGCGAACACTTCTATTGATTTCGTATTTTTGCATGCATGCAGAATCAAATGTCAGAAAAGCATAAGCAGAAAAATTCAATCTGAATGCAGGAAGGGGAAAGGATCTCTTTTCCTTGAACTGCCATTGATTTATTGTGATGAGAGTTTTAATCAAGCCCTTGTACCTTTAAAACATAAATTATTAGAGAGGAGCAGGGACAGTCTTTCYGAGGGCTTACTGACAGCCTGAGTTTTCAAGATTATTAATCAAAAATGTGAGTTTTTTCTTTCTTTTTTTGAGGCATCACTAACTGCCAAATAATGTCAGATGGTAAAGAACAATATGAATCCCCCATAGAGATCTATAAATATCAGCTATAAACGTACCTCATAAATTACTCAAGGGATTATTTTCTCCCAGCAGCTTTCCCTCCCACACATTCAAATTCAGTTGTATTCATCCAGTTTCTTGCCCTGTGCTCCAGAGGGAAGCTAGGGTAGGACACAGCAGGCCAAATACTGGTATATGTTGGAGAGGTTTCTACTCCAAGAGGCACGAGCCAGTCTGGAAAGAGATTCCTAGTCTAAAGGCAGATCAACCCCTTTGC